AAGCGTCGTACCGCGTTCCACGCGGGGGCGTGTGTTTCCGAACACCTCCGATTGGATACATTTCGTTTCTTGTGCATTAATAAGACAGCTAGGAAACGCCAGAAAGCCAAGGTGGAGTGGTGTAGTGGTTAGCACACCCGACCGGACATTGGGAGGCCCAGAGTTCAAATCCTGGCTCCGCCAATTTTTGGCTTTCGGCGGGTTCCTGAAAACTTGGATTCTTTAATTCATCGGATTAAGTACGGTTCATTCATCTGCACATATTCGTTCATATCCTCCTCGGAGACCACGTACGATGACGTGAAGTGCCCGTGTTGTATATATATATATATATATATATATATATATATATATATATATATATCGATTTCGGTTTCTTATCGGAGAGCATCTTTGCGCCCGCAGTCCTGCTCCCCGGTGGTCGCGACGGGAAGCCCCTTCCTCGCCTCGCTTATAGAATGGAGGGAAATAGGGCGCACGTGTGTTGCGCGTCTCAGCCACTGGGGAGCAGGACACCGGGCGCGGTGATGCGCTCCAATAAGAAACAGAAATCTAGAAGCGCGGCCAAATGAAACGCTTTTACAGAACGCCGTCACATGCTTCCCCGGCGTTATATCCTTCCACAAATAGTTGATTTTGTGGTTTTCGATGATGATCTACAAGTTTCTATTTAGAACAATATGTCTATCTTCACTAATTAAAAAGTTTATTAACGAATTTTAGTTAATTAGGCGACTTATCGCAAAGATTAGACACCCGCATAATGTCCGCCTGGCCGTATAACCCACTTGCACAAAGCGCATTAGCGTAGCTTTCACGGTATTTTTTAAACAAATGTGTAAGTATAAAAAAAAATCCTCTCTCTCTCTCTCTCTCTCTCTCTCTCTATATATATATATATATATATATATATATATATATATATATATATATATATATATATATATATATATATATATATACGGAAGAAAACGTACCTGAGACGGTTGTTGGAGTTTTTAAAACATATTATTGGTAAAGTTGGTCGACGTTTCGGCCTGAGACAGACCTTTTTCAAGACTGGCACATGAGAAGTCACATTGACGCTCCTTGACCACGTCACGGGGCATTCCAAACATCTGGTTTCTCTCAAGATTTGACGGTACCCCCCGACGCAGGCATCCCCCCCCCCCCCCCCCCCCGCGTAAACCTGACCCTGGTGAGAGAACTCGCACCATGTCGGAAAATCTAACTGAAGCAAAGCGGTGGAGGAGGGAGGAGGAGGGGCAGCCCCAAGAACAGCAAACGGCAAACTCCCGCCGAAAAAAAAAAAAACCTTCTTAGAAAAATGCCCCGAGCGGTGTCCGAGCGGTGCACCAGCCGCCCCCTCTGTCCGTGAAAAAAACACACATCTACACATCCCCCCTTCACGTAGTGAACTTCAAGACAGGGAAGACGAGGTGTTGTATGGGTGACACAATAAGCGGGCAACAGCTAGCGCGCGCTCGTGCGTCTCGCGCCACTGTTCCGGGGCGCCATTCCTATCTGAGCCAGCGCACCGTTTGCACCACCCGCTGCTATCCTGCCGCTCTCTCACGCCCGTGACTATGTGTCGTACTCCGGTAGTCCTGCAATAAAGATGTGCCAGCGAAGAACCCCATCGGCCTGTTACTCCAGATACCACACAGTGGCGACGAGGACACGGATTTCGCTGCTACAACGGGATGCAGAGACCGTCGGACGACTCAGCAACTGAGGGCCTTTCAACTGATGTTCCAGTATCTGGCATCTTGAATCAAGGACCAGAGGACCGGAAGGCAGTCACGATGGCCTTATTCGGGCAAGTCGAACCTTTTGATGACACGAAGTGTGATTGGTTATCCTACGAGGAAAGGTTGCGAGCCTTTTTGAGAGCAAACGGGGTAGCGGACGCAAACCGAGTTGACGTGGTCATAAGCCTCATAGGAGCTGACACGTATAAGTTGCTCAAGACTCTAGTAGCGCCTGAGGACCCGGCATTGAAGAGTTTTGAAGATGTGCTGGCCGTTTTGCGAAACCACTTGTCGCCGAGGCCGTCGGTCATCGCAGAAAGGGCAACGTTCCATAAGAGAGAACAACAGGAAGGGGAATCGGTCGGAAAATATGTCGCCGAGCTCAAAAGAATGACACAGACGTGCAATTTTGGAAGTAACCTGGAAGAAACCCTCAGAGACAGATTCGTCAGCGGTCTGAGTCGTGTTGACATTCAGAGAGTTTTGTTTGCCGAAGATGAGAGCCTGACATTCAAGAAAGCTGTGGAAAAAGCGTTAACTATTGAAAGAGCCACCATGAATGTGCAGGCGTGTCATAATAAGGCGGACAACGACCAACTCGAACTGCAGAAACTGACGGCGGTGAAACCGAAAGCGGTAGTGGGGGCTCAGGACAAATGTTTCCGTTGTGGGTCCCCTAAGCACATTGCCTCGTCATGCCCGCACCGTAACGCTATTTGTTATCGCTGCAACCGTGAGGGTCACTTCCAACGTTTCTGTAAAGCATCACTGGCCAATACACCAGGCAGAGCAAATCAGTTCAGAAACTTCTCCGCTGAGGAAGAAAAGAGTGAAGCGATATACGGGCTTCAAGACAGAAACATGAATGCGCCGTTCTACTACACACTCAAGGTCGGGAACGCTCCTCTTCAGATGGAACTAGACACCGGTGCTGCCGTGTCTATCATTTCGAAACGCCAGTTCCAATCGTTGTTTCCTCGCACAGAGCTGTCTCCGGCGTCACTAATACTGCGCACGTACACCGGCGAGCGTGTCAAGCCAAAAGGAGTGGCGACGGTGGACGTAGAGTACCGAGACTTCAAAGGAAAACTTCCGCTTCACGTACTGGGAGAAGATGGGCCACCTTTGATTGGCAGAGACTGGGTCTACAAGCTCAAGTTTGACTTGGGATCGCTAAACGCGGTCAGCGTTGATGTGAAAGCGTCTCTCCAAGACATCCTAATACGCTACCAGGATGTGTTTAAGGACGAGCTCGGATGCATGCGAGGGGAAGAGGCTCGGCTAAGCTTAAGGGAAGGTGCGAGTCCAAAGTTTCTGAAAGCTAGAAGTATGCCGTTCGCCCTGAAGCCAGCTGTAGAAGAAGAGCTAAAGAGACTGGAGGTGACAGGTGTCATTGAAGCGGTGGCCCATAGTGACTACGCTACACCAGTTGTCCCGGTTTTGAAGAAGGATGGGTCTGTACGCCTTTGCGGGGACTACAAAACAACGGTAAACCCTTGCCTGGACGTGGAGCAGTACCCGTTGCCAAGGTTGGAAGATATTCTAGCAACGGTAGCTGGGGCGACTGTTTTCTCGAAAATAGACTTAAGTCGTGCATACCAGCAAGTTCCGGTCCACCCTGAGTCACAACCCTATCTGACAATCAACACGCACAAGGGTCTCTTCCGCGTCAAGCGTTTGGCGTTTGGGATCGCTTCAGCTCCAGCACTGTTTCAAAAGATAATGGACAGCTTGCTGGCGGGAATTCAAGGAGTAACCTGCTATCTCGACGATATCCTGGTAACAGGGAAGACCGCCGGGGATCACCTGAAGAATTTGGAGCAAGTCCTAAAGAAACTGAGTGACAAGGGCGTCCGAGTCAAGAGAGAAAAGTGTGAGTTCTTGAAGGCAAGTTTGAAGTTCCTGGGGCACCAAGTCGGCGAGCAAGGGGTAGCTGTGTTGGCAGAAAATGTGCAAGCGATCCTCGATGCACCTCAACCGCAAGACTCAAAACAGTTACGGTCGTTTTTGGGAATGGTGACATTCTACGGAAAGTTCCTCCCAGACCTCTCGACCACAATAGCACCGCTGAACGAGCTACTAAGAAAAGATGTCGTCTGGACCTGGAGCAAGCGCTGTCAAGACGCTTTTAACATGGTGAAGAGGCTTCTGGTTGACGCACCTGTCCTGGCACACTACGACCCCAAGGCAGACCTTAAGGTGTCATGTGATGCCTCGGCATACGGTCTCGGAGCCGTCCTGTCCAGGGTGTACTCCAACGGCGACACACGGCCTATCGCGTTTGCGTCGAGAACCTTGACATCGAGTGAAAAGAACTACAGCCAACTAGAAAAGGAGGCACTGGCTATTGTGTTTGGCGTGAAGAAATTTCACATCTACTTGTTTGGACGATCCTTCGTGTTGGTCACTGATCACGAACCGTTGCAAACCATTCTTGGTCCAAAGACGGGAATTCCGAGCATTGCTGCCGCACGTCTGCAGAGATGGGCTATTACCCTTTCCGCCTATCAGTACCGATTGGTTTACCGACCGGGTCGACTCAACGTGGAGGCGGACTGCTTGTCACGACTTCCAGTTCCTGGGTTTCAGGATGAAGACTACGAGGATGACGTCGCGGCGTTTCTCAGTCTCCGCCTGCAGTCTTTTCCGGTAAGCAGCCAAGAGATCGCACAATTTACAGCAAAAGATAAAGAGCTCTGTCAAGTGGCAAGATTCCTTGCCGGTGCGTGGCCCGCAAAAGTAGAAGATTGTCTGAAGCGTTACTCTGCAAGAAGAAGCGAGCTGACGTGGCACCAGAATTGCCTTTTGTGGGGAATGAGGGTTGTGATCCCGAAGGGACTGCGCGAACGCGTACTGGACGAGCTGCATGAAGGGCATCCTGGAATCGTAAGGATGAAAGAACTGGCACGCAGCTATGTATGGTGGCCGGAGGTCGATGCGGATATTGAATATCGCGTCAGGTCGTGTGATACCTGCCAACAGCAGCAGAGTCTTCCAGGTCCAGCCCCGCTGCATCCGTGGTCCTGGCCAACTCGTCCGTGGCAAAGGCTGCACTTGGATTTTGCGGGACCTTTCCAGGGCCGTCATTTTCTGGTGATCGTCGACTCCCACTCCAAGTGGCCCGAGGTTTTTGTGATGAACAGCACATCGGCCGAAGCAACTATTGAAAAGCTGAGGGAGCTGTTTAGTCATTTCGGTCTGCCAGATGTTGTTGTCAGTGACAATGGCCCGCAATTTTGTTCCCAAGAATTTCAGATTTTCTTGCGAGAGAACGGTGTGAGGCACGTCAGGACCGCCCCCTACCATCCATCAAGTAATGGGCTGGCTGAGCGTTTCATCCGCACCCTGAAGGAGGCCTTACGAAAAGAGATGCCGGGCCGGCCTCTGTCCCGTCGACTAGCAAGTTTCTTGTTAGCTTACAGAAACACACCGCACGCCACAACCCTTCAGAGTCCTGCGGAGTTGCTGCTTGGGCGGCGGCTCACTACCCGTCTCGACAGACTGCGACCCTCTGCAGAGGAAACTGTTCACCGCAAGCAGGACGTGCTACAGGTGAAGCACAGTGGCAAACACCGACACTTCGTGCCGGGTGATAAGGTGTACGTCAAGAACTTCCGGCCGGGTGAGAGGTGGTTGCACGGAGTCGTCATGGCTAGATCCGGACCGGTCTCCTGCAGGCTTCGCGTGACCACACCGCGGGGGACCTTCGTGTGGCGGCGACACCAAGACCACCTGCGGTTGCGGGAGAGCTCTACCCCAGAGGAGGAGGAAGGTGGTTTGCTGATACCGAGTGTCCTGCCATCATCGCCAACCCCAGGGCAAGGGGGACTCGTGAACGAGCTGCCTCCAGTTGGGTCACCGGTGGTAGAGGGACAAGACATGGGATCAACTCCAGTCTCCGGTCGTTCCCCAGCCCAGCCGCAAGAAATTCAGCGCCGGTATCCCGAACGGCAACGGCGTGCGCCTAATAGGTTTTCGCCTTGAGAAGGAAGAGAAAAAGACGAGGACTTTGTGTTTTTCAGAACTGTAATTATTTTGTATTTAGTATGTCTGTACTTTGTACGTTCCAGAACTTCAATTATTCTCGTGTTTTGTTAAATTGTCATATCGTGTTACTTTGTGAGTATTGCACTGGAACGCCGTCGAATGGTATTACTGTGCTGAACTAAGCGTGAGGGAGTGTTGTATGGGTGACACAATAAGCGGGCAACAGCTAGCGCGCGCTCGTGCGTCTCGCGCCACTGTTCCGGGGCGCCATTCCTATCTGAGCCAGCGCACCGTTTGCACCACCCGCTGCTATCCTGCCGCTCTCTCACGCCCGTGACTATGTGTCGTACTCCGGTAGTCCTGCAATAAAGATGTGCCAGCGAAGAACCCCATCGGCCTAGCTGTTACTCCAGATACCACACGAGGAATGGTCCTAAACCTCCTCGCCGAAAAAATAAAAAAAAACCGGTTGCAGTTTTTGAGGAAACTTGCACCAAGCGTTGCACGAGCGGTGTGCGAGCCGCCTCCTCAGTGCGTAAAAAAACAACACACACAGGCATACATATCCCTTTTCTCACATAATAAACTTCAACGAGGGGAGGTTCTGGATTTTTAAACCGATATGACTGCTCGAGATGTGTTAACTGCGTGCATGGACGTCATTATTCCAGGGTGTTCATTAAGGTAGATTGCATGCATAGATGACATTATGCCGGGATCCTCATTAATACCTGCCCGGATTGAATTAAATTTGTTAGTAAGATACGATTCTCTCTGCTCGCAACTGTTCAGTCAACAATATTATTAGAACTAACTCTATATGAAATAAATTGTGGATGGCCTAAAGTCTTTGGAATGTGTACGCTCACGCTGATACAGGACGATCGTGAATGTTAACCGCGTGAATGGAAGACATAATGCCGGGATGTTTATTGATCGCGGCTTTGAACTTGTGAATAAGGTAAGGTTTTTTCTGTTCGCGATCTCGGTTGCTTCTGAAACCAGACTGTAAAAATGTGACTTGGAGCTCATCAAATGAGTGTTTTGGATCGCTAACATGCTTTGAAACAGGAAGTGTGGGGTTTGATTTTGCATGTGATCTGTGATTATTAAACCGCAATCGGAAAGGTGTCTCTGTCTGGCCCACGTACTGCGCGCCGCAAGTGCTACACTGTAAAAGGTATACTACATTACTGGTGTCGCAATTTGAGTTGCCATAAATTTTGTAGGTGAAGTTGGAGTTTGTACTCTCTATGGAGTTTCTTGGTGTTACGTGTGGGCAGACCCCACATCCCGACTTTCCGCATGGCCGACTCCCAGTGCTCTCAGTGGCAGTTATCTTGGACCTGACTAAGGAATCCTTAATGTTCCGCGAGCGTCTGTACACCACACGTGGGACGGCAGTAATAACTTTTGCGAGGCATTCACTTTGTTGCAAAATATTAAAATGTTTCTTTAATATGGCGGTGAAATTCGGAGACTTATTGCTGAAGGTCAGCACGAGGCTGGCCTGTCGGCTTGTCTCCGCCTGGGGACCGCTGTCACCTAACAAGAGGTCGCGATCGAGGGCGCGCGCCTTACTAATTGCGTCATTTATGATTTTTTCTGGGTACTTCTGTTTTTTTAGAACCTCGCGTAGTTGACTGGCGTTGGAGTCAAAATTATCGTTATTAGAACATACACGTTTAAACCTGTGAGCCTGGCTGTACGGAATACTGGTTCGGCAAGGTCGAGGATGGCAACTGTCGAAGTGCAAATATCTCTGGCTGTCCGTGGGCTTTCGATACAGTTGAGTGACCAGAGTTGTGTCCTTAATTATTACTCTAACGTCTAAGAAATTAATGTCAGTTTTCGAGTAACTGTGTATGAAGCGAATGGAAGGGTGCGCGGAGTTAAAATCTGCGATGAACTTGAGAAGCTCATTTTCTGAGTGTGACCAGATAAAAAATACGTTATCAATATACCTCCTGTAGAACATCGGTTGGAGCGGACAGGATGCGAGAAAATTTGATTCGAGGTCGCCCATAAATATATTCGCAAAGTTCGGGGCCATTTTCGTGCCCATTGCGGTCCCTCTAGTTTGAAGAAAAAAATTTGCCGTCGAATTCAAAATTGTTTAACTCAAGAACCAGGCTCGAAAGGACAGCCAGAACTTGGCTCTCCGGGAAGACATCCCTCCTGTGGGCCTCATATGCCCTCACAAGCGCCTCTATGCCGTCTTTATGGGGAATATTGGTGTACAGAGCAGTTACATCCATTGTCACCAGAAAAGCATCCTTGGGTATTTGAATTTTAGAAATTTCTTTGAGAAAGTGAGTCGCGTCCCGAATGTACGACGCGAAGGTAGGCGGGATGTGTCTGATGAGGTTATCAACGAAACTACAAATTGGCTCGGTGAGCGTTCCCGAGCCCGATATAATGGGGCGGCCGGGATTCTCTTCTTTGTGGATTTTGCCCGACCACGGGCCAGTACGACGAATTCACTCTCCTCCAGGATCTAGATAACTTCGCACGAAGCCTTCGGCCCCAGAAATTCTTCTTTGATAGGCCCTAACAGGGCGCATCTCCTCTGCCTTCGACATCGTCCGGCTGGACTCCCGGTCCCAACAGAGATAAGCATCTAGACCTTTATATCCAGGCGGTCCAAAAGGACCTTGTGTCAGCTTATAGAAATCAGCAACCGCATACCGCATCACTATAACCTCTCGCTTCCCGAACGCAGGGCGCTCAAGGATCTAGGCAACAGAAAAGATATTATAATCAAACCAGCTGACAAGGGGGGTGCCATGGTTATACTCAACATCTCGGATTACATAAAAGAAGGCTATAGACAACTAAACGATGCCAAATTCTACCGTCATCTAAACAACGACCCAACTAGCCAGCATGCCAAACTTATACACCAGCGACTTATCGAGCTAGAGAAACAACGTGAAATTACCGACAAAACTTTACGGGGGCTAACGGCCAAACACGCTGTACCTGGGCGCTTCTATATGTTACCTAAAATCCACAAAGAAGGGAATCCCGGCCGCCCCATTATATCGGGCTCGGGAACGCTTACCGAGCCAATTTCTAGTTTCGTTGATAACCTCATCAGACACATACCGCCTACCTTCCCGTCGTACATTCGGGACACGACTCACTTTCTCAAAGAAATTTCTAAAATTCAAATACCCAAGGATGCTTTTCTGGTGACAATGGATGTAACTGCTCTGTACACCAATATTCCCCATAAAGACGGCATAGAGGCGCTTGTGAGGGCATATGAGGCCCGCAGGAGGGATGACTTCCCGGAGAGCCAAGTTCTGGCTGTCCTTTCGAGCCTGGTTCTTGAGTTAAACAGTTTTGAATTCGACGGAAAATTTTTTCTTCAAACTAGAGGGACCGCAATGGGCACGAAAATGGCCCCGAACTTTGCAAATATATTTATGGGCGACCTCGAATCAACTTTTCTCGCATCCTGTCCTCTCCAACCGATGTTCTACAGGAGGTATATTGAGGACGTATTTTTTATCTGGTCACACTCAGAAAATGAGCTTCTCAAGTTCATCGCAGATTTTAACTCCGCGCACCCTTCCATTCGCTTCACACACAGTTACTCGAAAACTGACATTAATTTCTTAGACGTTAGAGTAATAATTAAGGACACAACTCTAGTCACTCAACTGTATCGAAAGCCCACGGACAGCCAGAGATATTTGCTCTTCGACAGTTGCCATCCTCGACCTTGCCGAACCAGTATTCCGTACAGCCAGGCTCACAGGTTTAAACGTGTATGTTCTAATAACGATGATTTTGACTCCAACGCCAATCAACTACGCGAGGCTCTAAAAAAACAGAAGTACCCAGAAAAAATCATAAATGACGCAATTAGTAAGACGCGCGCCCTCGATCGCGACCTCTTGTTAGGTGACAGCGGTCCCCAGGCGGAGACAAGCCGACAGGCCAGCCTCGTGCTGACCTTCAGCAATAAGTCTCCGAATGTCACCGCCATATTAAAGAAACATTTTAATATTTTGCAACAAAGTGAACGCCTCGCAAACGTTATTACTGCCGTCCCACGTGTGGTGTACAGACGCTCGCGGAACAATAAGGATTCCTTAGTCAGGTCCAAGATAACTGCCACTGAGAGCACTGGGAGTCGGCCATGCGGAAAGTCGGGATGTGGGGTCTGCCCACACGTAACACCAAGAAACTCCATAGAGAGTACAAACTCCAACTTCACCTACAAAATGTATCGCAACTTAAATTGCGACACCAGTAATGTAGTATACCTTTTGCAGTGTAGCACTTGCGGCGCGCAGTACGTGGGCCAGAAAGAGACACCTTTCCGATTGCGGTTTAATAATCACAGATCACATGCAAAATCAAACCCCACACTTCCCGTTTCAAAGCATGTTAGCGATCCAAAACACTCATTTGATGAGCTCCAAGTCACATTTTTACAGTCTGGTTTCAAAAGCAACCGAGATCGCGAACAGAAGGAATCTTACCTTATTCACAAGTTCAAAGCCGCGATCAATAAACATCCCGTCATTGTCTTCCATTCACGCGGTTAACATTCACGATCCTCCTGTATCAGCGTGAGCGTACACATTCCAAAGACTTTAGGCCATCCACAATTTATTTCATATAGAGTTAGTTCTAATAATATTGTTGACTGAACAGTTGCGAGCAGAGAGAATCGTATCTTACTAACAAATTTAATTCAATCCGGGCGATCGCCTCAGCCGACATTTAAGTAAGGTAAAACAAAAAATTCGGGGAAGGTATGTAACCTTTTCATACAACCCCGCCCCTCCGTGTGTCTCTCTCTGGAACATTTTCTACGGCACGTCCTGACCTCGAATTGTGTGTGTGTGTGCGTGTGTGTTGGACGTACCCCTTTTTATTTTCCATTTTTCTGCCCCCTGTTCTTTTCTCGCCAACCTCCGTCGCCCCCTCATCTCTCATATACTACCGACGTCACTACCCACACCGCCTCTCTGTGGCCCCGGTAACGTGGTTGACAGTGGCGTAAGATGGGCTCTAAAACAGCGTTCACCGCGCGCGGCTGCACAATATCACAAATTTCAATTTTCGCCTCGATTCCGAAGCGAAGATGTTGGCCTCAAATAACTCCTTCCCAAAGTTGTGAAACGTCACTTTGTCGTCAGCGATAACTTTCACAAA